AGTGGTGGGCAGGTAAATAAATCCAGGGTAACAAATGTTTTTTTTTTTTTTCTTTTACATAACTCATGGTTAAAGAAGAAAAGAAGTGCAATAATAAAATATTTCTAGCTTAATGATAATAAAAACAAAGCATGTTTACCTTTGCAAAATACAGCTAAAAATTGCTTAAGGGAAAATTTATAGATTTAAGTTCTTATTAAAAAAGAAAATTATCAAGAACATGATCTATACTTAAACAATTAAGAATATAGGTGTTTTCTAAGAAAAAAGTAAAATTAATAAAAAAGTAAGGAGAAGAAAGAACATAATAAAGATATGAATAGTAAACAATATAATAGAAAAAATTTTAGTCAACAGTATTAGAATTTGAATCTTTTAAATTCTTAGTGAAACACAAACTCTTAACAAAATTGGTAAGGAATAAAGAGAAAATAGAAAAAGCAAAAATGAACAAGAGAATATTACTTCTGATCCTACAGACAATTAGAGCAGGAAGACATAAATGTGAAGAAATTAAAGTCAATAAACAAACCTAGGTAAAAAAAATTCATTAAAAACACAACCTGTCAAAAGTGACTAAAATAAATAGAAAATATGAATAGCTCAAAACTTTTTAAAGATATTGATTTGTAACTATACAACCTCCCCAAAGAAAATTCCAGATTCAGAAGCTTTAAGTGGCTAATTCTTTCAGACAATTAGGAAAAAAGAAAAGCAAGAATACACAAGTTCTTTCAGGAAATACAATGTCAAGACCAATTTATATTTTATGAGACTAGAATAACTACGAAACTGAAACCTGACAAGCATGGTATAAGGAAACAAAATTGCAGACCACAATAACATATCAACATAGTTTCAAAAATGTTCCCCAAAAATATTAGAAAATATATTCCAGCAATATATAAAAAGAATATTTCATGACAAGGAATTTATTCCAAGAATGAAAAACTGATTTATTATTTGAAAATCTGTTAACAGAATTCATTACATCAGCAAAACAAAGGCTAAAAAATAATCTACTCATCTCAATATTTATAGAAAAAATATTTGTAAAAATCAATATCCATTGTTGATAAAAATTCTGTTTCTATGAAAATCTAAAGCTAACACCATACCTCATTGTGAAATATTGAACCTGTTTTTCTAAAATGAATGCTCTTACCATCTGTCTACAATACTATAATGGAGCTTTAAAACAATGGAATAATGTAAAACAAGGGATGCAAATTATATGATGATTTGAAAGGAATAATAAAACTCTTCATTTCCAAGTGATGTGACTGAATACCTAGAAAATCTTACTAAATCTACATTAGCAGCTATAAAAATAATTATATATAGCAAGCTCTCAAATCAAGTTTTTCTTCATATTAATTACAAATAGCACAAAAATGATATTTTTAAATATCAATATCAGTAACATCAAAACATGAAACACTTATATTGTATTATACTCATATTGTAGCACTATTCAGAATAACCAAGATAGTGGAAATAAGTTAAATGTCCATCAATGGGAGAATGCATAAAGAAAATGTGGTATATGCATAGAATGGAATATTTTTCATCCTTAGAAAAGAAGGAGATCTTGCCATTTGTGACAACATGGATGGACCTAGAGGACACTAAATTAAGTGAAATAAGCTGAAATAAACCAGACATAGAAAGACAAATACTATATGATCTCACTTATATGTGAAATCTAAAATAGTCAAACTCATAAAAGCGGAGAGTAGAATGGTGGATACCAGAGGCTGTGGGGAGGGAGAAATTGACAGACGTCTGCCAAGCGTACAATTTTCAGTTATACAAGATGAATGAATTCTTGAGACCAAATTTAAGGAATAGTGACTATAAGTAACTATCCTGAACTGCATACTTGAAATTTGCTCACAGGTCATATCTTAATTTTTCTTAGCACATACACAAAAAAATGGTAACTATGTGAGGTAATAGATAGGATAATTAGCTTGATTGTAGTGACTAATTCACAATGTATATGTATATCAAATCACCAGATTGTACACCTTAAAAATACACAATAAAATAGAAAAGAAGGCTGTCCTGGTGGCACAGTGGTTGTGTCCACACATTCTGCTTCAGTGGCCCAGGGTTCACTGGTTTGGATCCTGTGTGTGGACCTACACACTACTTGTCAAGCCATAGTGTGGTAGGCATCCCACATGTAAAGTAGAGTAAGATGGGCACGGATGTTAGCTCAGGGCCAGTCTTCCTCAGCACAAAAGAGGAGGATTGATGGCAGATGTTAGCTCAGGGCTAATCTTCCTCAAAAAAAGAAAAAAGAAAATCGGCATCCAGTTTTTCTGCAACAAGCAACCTTCAGACTCCACAAGCGATATTATGCCTTAAACATTAGAATGTGTTTAGATATTTTAACAATGACAAATGAAAATTCGTGTTTTATTTATGAAAATGCTCCATCCAAAATGACTTGACATGGTGGGAAAAGGAGACTGAGGTGGGGACTTGGCAGTGACTAGGGAGTGCAGGCAGGGTGAGATTTCCTGTGCAGAGGCTCACATGGCTTGAACACTTTGCCGGTGACAAAGTAAGGGACATTAGGCTTTTTTATCAGCTTTCCTGGATGTGTGGCAGAAGGAGAAGAGGAAAGAGTTTAAAGGCTTAAAAGATGTCAGAAAACAATTCTGTCAGTATCACACAGTGTTGATTAACGTATCTGTATAGTAAGTTTTAATATTGGAAGGAGTACTTATTTTCATTTTCTTCTTCTTCAGATTGTTGTAGTTATTTAAAGACTTGTGATTTTCCATGTAAATTATAGAATAAGTTTGCCTTTTCCACAACAATCTGACTGGGATTTTAAAAGGAGTTGAATTAACCTATGGATCAAATTAGGAACTAATTTTGTTCTTACTTTTCTAGCATCTTGAGATAAGATATAGATTATTTATTACAGACTTGCTCTCTAATGTAAATATTTACTGCTATGAATTTTCTGTTTAGAATTGCTTTAGCTACATCCCACAAATTTTGATACATTGCAAGTTCATTTTGATTCAAAGGTTTGTACTATTTTTATTTCCTTTGAGACCGCCTCTTTGACCCAAGCATCATTTAAATTACATGTATGTGTAGATTTCCCTATTGTCTTTCTGTTATTTATTTCTAACTTGATTCCATTATGGTTGGAAAACCATAATATCCTCAGTATGGTTTCCATCCTTTTAAATTCTTTGAAGTTTATCTTGTGGTCAAGGATATGGTTTATCTTGGTGTGAGGTGGAGGATGGGTTACACCCTTGGCTCTGCTGGAAATGCTACTATGGGCAGACAAGGACTGGTGGCTTTTGTGTGTTGGGGACTGAGTTAGGATCCTAGCTCCACTGACACTTCAGGTGTAGGCAGATTAGGCACTCCACTGGCACAGGCTGTCAATCTCCATATTAAGTCCCTGTTAGGCTTCCTCTTTCTTGATTCTTTCTCATGGAGAATAAACTTTCTTTTTACTTTTTATTTTGCTCTTATTTTCCTTTTGTTGGTTTTTGCCTAGGCCTATTGACAGTTTCAGGTTCAAGTGGCAGTGTCCTCCACATCCCAGCCTGAGATATACAGGAGATAAAATAATTCCTTGGGAATTCACTGTGGTTTCATTCTTCAAGTCCTGAGGTCCCTAGCCAAACCACCTTGTCCATTTTTTTTTAAAAAGTGAATTTTTTTATTGAAATATAATTCACATATGATATTATATTAGTTTCAAGTGTACAATGTATTGATTCAATATTTGTACATATTGTGAAATTATCACCAGAATAAGTCTAGTTAACATCAGTTACCATACATAAATTATAATTGTTTTTTATTCTTGTGATGAGAACATTTAAGATCTACTCTCTTAGTAACTTTCAAATATGCAATACAGTATTATTAACTATAATTAACAATCCTTTCTTATTCACCTTTCACAAAAATTTTGATTGTCTGTTGAATTATTTCCAAGTTATTTATTTGTATTTACTGGAGAGAGCAGAGAAAAGTGAATATATACCATGTTTTTCTGGAATCCGAATAGATTAAACTTTGTAGGAAATGGGAAATCTATTTTCCAGAATTCCATGATATTTTATAATTTTAACATGCCCAACAGTGGTGTATAAACTACACTTCTTCCAAATCCTAACCAACACTATTATAGTCAATCTTTTTTACTTTTAGATATTCTAATTGTGTGTAGTAGAATCACACTGGGGTTTGATTTGTATTGCCTAATGACTGATAATGTTGAGCATCTCTTCAAGGGCTTATATTCCATCCAAATATAATCTTTAAGTGTTTTAAAAATCTCATTGTCATTATGTTGCATACTTTCAATACATGTTTATTTAACCAATGTTATGTAGTTATTGCATAATTGGAAGTGCTGGACTACAAGTTATTATATCCTGCTAGGAACTGGAATTCCAGCTCTTCTTATTTTTAGAAGTCTATATGACACTCCTCCTCCATGGCACATTCTCCGACCACCCTGGTCCAGTTTGTCTTATCTTGTCTGTCCACTATTTTAGTCTTCAGCACACTACAGCACACAGTAGTCCACCCTTATCCATGGTTTTACTTTATACAATTTCAGTCACCTGCTGTCAACCATGGTCCAAAAATATTAAATGGAAAATCCCACAAATACACAATTCAGAGTTTGCAATTTTACTCTTTCTGAGTAGTATGACAAATCTCATGCTGTACTGCTCCATCATGCCCAAGACATAAATCATCCCTTTGTCTAGTGTATCTATGCTATATAGGCTACCCATACTACCCACTCATTGGTCACTTAGTAACCATTTGAGTTATCAGATCGACTGTTGAGGTATCAAAATGCTTCTGTTCAAGTAACCATTGACATAATCTGCTCTTGACATCTAACCATTGACATAATCATGGCTCAATGATCCTTCTTCTGACATATTGTCAGAAGGCCCATAGTAACCTTATGTTACATCACAATGCCTATGTCATTCAGCTCACTTCAGTTCATCACATAGGCACTGTATCATTTCACAGAATCACAAAACGTAGGGTGAGTACAGTAGAATGTATTTTGAAAGAAAGAGACTACAGTCATTTAACATTTATTACAGAATACTGTTGGAAATCTGCTTTATTATTGGTTATTGTTGTTAATCTTTTACTGTACCTAATTTATAAATTAAGCTTTATCATATATCTGTATGTGTAGGAAAAAACATAGTACATATAGAGTTTGGTACTATCCACAGTTTCAGGTCTGGTACTATTCAGGTTTCTGGAATGTAGCCCCCTTCTATAAAAGCAGGCTAATGTAATTCACAATTCATGGGCACTATCTTCATCCTGCCACAGAAGTATAAATCCCTTTTAAGAAGATACTATTCCTTATACTTTTCTGATTTCTCCCATGGTACAATCTATAAAGACTGTAAGCAATTCTGAATAACCAGGAAGGGAATCAGTAATGAGAGGGAAAGAGCATGTTTGTGGCAAGTGGAAGAGTAAACTGAGCAATCATTAGGAATGCAAATTCTGATGCACTTTCTTCCCTGCCAAAAAAAACCTTGTGATGTAGCAGGAAGCTTTGTTAATGGGCAGGGTATGAACTCTGCAAATTTTAAATCCCCAGAGATCCCCAGAGAGTTTAAATCACAAGTTACACAAAGCCCTGTAACTAATGAGAACAAATTACAAAGTTGAGTGGAAAACTTCTCTTGCTCCCTTTGATGAAAGGAGAGAGGAAATCCCTCAGGTCTCCTAACCAGAATCAAACCTCAAGAGCTGAGGAACCTCAGGCCCTGATGAAAATCAGACAATCTATATAAATTGGTAGAAGGAATGACTCTAAACCATCGTGATTTAGTGAGTGGTGAGAACTGATCACAGCACATATGGCTTAGCCACACAATTTATGTCAAAAAACATCTAGAGTCATAGAAAGCTGAAGCTTATACCAAATTAGGACATTTTCCTCACTTCCCAGCTGAGGAAACTTAGAGCCAAACCGTGCAGGGACTTTCCCAATTTCACTAAACTAGCAGTGATAAAGTTAAGAATCCAGACTCTTAGAGCAGTGATTTTCATACAAAGTCAAACTCTGTCTCTTTTGTTGGAGAACAAAGCATGCTTCCAGCAATGTGAAGACTATCCTGGGAGACCATAACTATAACACTGAATAGGCTTTGGAGCCCTGATAAAATACACAAGGTAGGAAACTATTCCAAATGGTTTGACTCTATTCATCATAATGTATTGTCACTGCACTTCCTCCAAATTACCACTTCTCTTTGACTTTGCATAGGCTGTGTGTTTCTCTTGTCAGTGGATCCATATCTCCACATTAAATTTGATGCAAGTGGATTTGGGGACAACTTTAGAGATAGGTGAGGGTAGGGTGGGGTATAGTACTCTCACTCCCTACACACATATATTCAGAATATGCCATAAGTGGGTGTACATTCTGACATTTGTACTCTACTGCTGAAGACCCACCAAGTAGGTATTTATCACATAATTAAAAGTAAGGATTAGATAAGAAAGGACCTGTCTTGGAATTTGTATTGCTGATTCTTTGCATCACCAAAACGCTTCTGCATTAAAGGATGGCTTTGAAAACAATCCCTCTTGGCTGTCTTGGAGGGATATGGCATATTGTGTGAATTCAGGCTATTCTGTGGACAGTTATGTTAGAAAGAGCTCAGGTTTTGCATCAAGCACACCAGGTAGTAGAACAACTTCTTGTTTTGCCAACATATTCTTTTTTTTCCTCTCTCTTTCGTTTACTTAATTAATATTTTAGTTCCATAATCCATACCATTGCCTCTCTTATAGAGCTACTGTGAAGATTCAGTAGAACTTAAGAACATTAGTGTGGAAAGTTCTCTACTGACGAAAGAAATTTTTCATGATGGTTTAGCAGATAAGCAGAAAGCCATATTGGAACTTGGTACTTCTGAGAGGGAGAGAAGGTTTTCTGAAACAGTCCAGAATGATTCAGAAAGCTGTTTACAGGGGAAAGTGAAACAATAATACACAAGTCTGGATTTGGATACTAAGGAGATTCATTAAATTTTGATACCAAGAAGGCTTACACTAAAAGTCCTGATGAGGGAGCTCAAAAATCCTTTAGACACTGTCCTTCATAATATATCCTTGGGAAGAAGACAAAAAATACTTTTAGTCTTCTATTTGGGAGATAATTACTCACAGATAAAAAAGTATGGGTACTCTGAAAGAAAGAGGGAAACAGGAAAAGAGAAAGGATTGATATGAGCTAAGGAAAGATTGTCGTGTGATTCATGTATGAGTATGAAAGAATAAGGATCTCGTTAGCTCTAAGAAGACAAGAATCAGAGGGGCCTATAAAGCAGAGTCCATAGGGTTTTGAATTATTTCTGGAATCATTTAAAATTCAGACCATTTTCCTACTACCTCTTTTGACTCTCAGTGACCAGCTAGATTCTGCCTTGAGAAGGCCTAATCTTAGCCTGAACTTAATTTAACTAGGAGTGGAAAGTCTGTTCATCTCCATACTCAAAATCACATTCTGAGCAGCAATAAATAACTAAAATAGTCATCATTTATAGATCCAGCACTTTTTTGATGATTAGCCTATCCATCCAACTTGTATTGGGAAATTATTACCTTCTTAAGATGCTCTCTATTATTACCCTGAGAAATACAGAAATATATGACTCAGATTCTCTTTCCTCAATAAGAAAGCATTGGTAAATGAAAAGAATAAACAAAGTCAAGTAACAACTATGCCATTTCATAGATGCAATTATCTATTCCTAAAATAATCACAACTGCCCTACACATTTCACAGCTGTCCTATGCACTTCACATTTATGCTGTGAAGAGTAAAATCAATAAACTTGAAAGAATGTGGCAACATGTAGACTCTATAAATTCTGGTTATTAAATATACTGGCATGTGAGACAAGAAAAACAAACAATAGTAAGATATAATACAAAGCTAAAGGAATGTGTTAAATATAAGGAAAAAATACATGACGTAGAAATCAGAGGAGGATGAGATTAAATCAGATGTAGAATTATCAAATAATTTGTAGGATGGCTAGCATTTAAATTTCAGATGCTGAGCTTGGCAATGAAGAAATGGGAAAAATCTCAATTACCACCTGCACTATACTTGCATAAAGGGTCTGTTTATCAATACTAATCACATACTCTAATTAATCACTATTAATCCTGAGGGCCCTCAGATATCTGATCATTTTCTCCTCTCCTCAGAGTGGATGAAAGGGACAATATTCTTTACTTCCCTTCAGCATTTCAGGATATAAATGTCTTCTCCAAGAAGGATTAATGACTTTAGACTTCTCTAAAAATAGTAAGCCATTGTCCAGGTTTAGTCTCAAAATTACTATAAATCAACTATCAACCTTCATTCAGTAGATATTTACAAACCATATGTTATGTGGAAGTTGACTCTTTGTCTATTAGCTACGTGGTAGATTTTTCAGTATTCAGAATATGATTCAAATCAGACTCTCCTAATACATCTGAATCTACTTTATCTGGATATCAATTAGAATATTGTTTCCCTATTGCATTAACAGCCATTAACATTCTTTAAAAGAAATAGGCCAGAAAAAGTCTTCTTGTGACATAAGTAATGAGTAACTGGTTGCTGAATCAAAAAGAAGTGAATGAATGAAAAATAAGGAAGACACATCACTTACATAAACATGGCGATTTCCTAAACTAAATGAAAAATCAGTTAGTAATTGCAACTGTGAACATTTGTCTTATTTACATCACAATTTTCAAAGAATAATGGAGAGTTAAATGTTTACTTGTGGTTTCTTTCAGATACAACCATTCAAACAATGAAGATCAACCAGACAATCCTGCAGGAATTCATTCTTGTTGGCTTTTCTGTTTACCCACATGTACAGACATTCCTCTTTGTGGTCTTCTTTTGCCTCTACCTTCTCACTCTCACAGGTAACCTGGCCATCATAGGTCTTACTTGGTTGGACAGAGCTCTCCACAGCCCCATGTACCTCTTCCTCAGTGCACTCTCCTTCTCTGAGACCTGCTACACACTGACCATCATCCCCAAGATGCTGGCAGATCTTCTGGCCAAAAGTAGAAGCATTTCAGTCATAGGTTGTGGCTTGCAGATGTGTTTCTTCTTGGGACTTGGTGGCACTAATTGTATCATCCTTACATTGATGGGCTATGATCGCTTCTTGGCCATCTGCAACCCTCTCAGATATCCACTGCTTATGACCAACATGGCATGTGGACAATTGGTGGCCTCTGCTTGGGCTGGAGGCTTCTTTATATCTCTGATAGAGACTGCGCTGATATTCAAGGGCTCTTTCTGCAGCCCCAACCTTGTCAAACACTTTTTCTGTCATATGCGGGCAGTTGTGAGGCTGAATTGTCTAGACAGTGACCTCACAGAATTTATTGTAACTGTGATCTCAGTGTCAGGCTTGCTGGGCACATTCCTGCTCATCATCCTAACTTATGTTTTCATCCTTTCCACTGTCCTCAGGATCCCTTCAGCTGAGGGCAAGCAGAAGGCATTTTCCACCTGTGCCTCCCACATCACAGTGGTCATCATCCACTTTGGCTTTGCATCTATTGTTTATCTGAAGCCTGAAGCCTCAGGGGGAGATGACACACTGATAGCAGTTCCTTACACTGTCATTACCCCTTTCCTCAGCCCCCTCATTTTCAGCCTCAGGAATAAGAACGTGAAGACTGCTTTTGGAAAGGTGCTTGGAAAGGCAAGATACTTGTATAAATAGTTTTGGATTATTGCTTCATGATTGAACGTCGCCAGAAGTCATTTAGGCATCTACCCCGTAACAGCTAGAGAAGCCTGTAACATTTGTCTTTTTCCATAGTTTGGCAGATGGATATCAAGTGACTGAGTCTGGGTCCTAAGACATCACAATCATTTAATCAGCTTGTTAGGGAAGTTGTCCAATTCTTCTACTTCTACTGTCCAACGCTATCTACTTTTATTACTGCTATCAATCATCCAATCACTTCTATTTCTGCTATCTGGCTCTGCAGGTGCTAGGCTTCTGCCAGTCAACTTCTAGGTGTCCTACACCATTGATGGAGTAGGAAATGAAATATTGTGGAAGCAAAAAACATCACCTGTCACCTCTACACTAAAAGATGTTTTCAAACATTTAAAGATGTAAAGGCTCAGAAACTTTTCTAGGCAGCATTGTGAGGGACCGGGTTGCATCTCCCAGGAAACAAATCATTTCTAGGAGGAGATAAACTATGTAGAAACCACCCACTGTCTACTTGCATATATCTGGATTGATATCTATATTTGTTATGTGCCCATGCCGTACTGATACTAATACTGTTCATGACAGTGTCCTTCCAGTGACTATCAGATGATAAGTTCTGTATATACAGGATATCTTGGAATATTGACTCAAACAACTAACGAGAATAGTAAAGCCTACATATTCTATGGGGGGATCTATGGGCGAGGGCTGGAAATAATCTCCATTTTCTTTAAAGATATTCAAAAACAAATGTTTTTTAAAAATCAAGCTATGTCATGATATTGAGAGTTTGGCAAACAAAGGCATTTTGGAATCATTTTGACAAACATACAACGTGTAATAAAGGAAATCAGATCAACACAGCATTCACCTTTATACCATCAGGAAGAAAATTAGAAGAACAGAAGAGGTAAGCAGACTTACAGAAAATTCAGATATATAAGCCTAGGGGAGTTTTTGGAATCTTTTTCCAGTTGTGGTGTAATCAAATCTGTGAACTCTCATGGAGGACATAATTGTTGTACAAGATTTTAGTGTATTCATTTAGTATGAAAAGTGTTGGAATAATTTCTGAAGTCCAATATTTACAGGAAAATTACAGAGATAAATAAGATATTGGATGAAAATTATACGTACCTACAGTGATTAAGATTAGCTCTTGTTAGAACTCTATTTTCTTCCCTGAGACCATTTTTTAATCACTTGTGCAAGCACAATATTTACCCTCTTCAAACTGTGGTCATGGCCTCAGTGCAAGAATATTTTTCCTACTTTTGTTCCACACCTGAGAACTCATTATCCAATAGAGGGAGGCTATAAAATCTTGGAAATAAATAGTAACAATTTATTCACTCATGGGAGGTGTAGAAGATATGATGTTGCATCTAGACTCAAGTTCCTGAAGTTGAATTTGGACAAATTAACCTTCATATACCTGATACGTTGACTGTAGCAGGAATTGCTACTCGACTACTTAATATCTAATGTTCGGCTAGAAACAAGTAACTAAATGGGAATTGGAAAATATCTATATGTTTAGATGTTAAGATACCCACTTCTAAATAAGCCATGAATTAAATAATAAATCCCATTGATATTAGAAAAAATGATATGAGCTGGAGAAAAGGAAAATACTGCAGATCAAATCTTGCAGGATAGAGCTTTTTAGTGTTTAGATGGAAATACATAGCTTCAAGATGCATTTTTAAAAAACCCATTGGCTGAAAATTAGTAAGTTAAGCATTCATCTCAATAATTCAGGAAATAAATAAATGAACAGAGCAAGGTTATAAATGAAAAATAAAAAGATAACAGCAGAAATTAATTAAATAATAGTAGGCAATAGAGAAGCTCAAAAAAGTAAAAGGCTGGAATATCAAAAATATTAATAAATATTATTCCCTTGTGAGATTGATGAAGAAATAGAGAGAAAAAAATAAAGTAAACATGAAGGGAATTAAAATACGAACATTTCTCAGACCATGCAGACATAAAAGATGAGAGAATGTCACAAATGGCTTCATGAACATAAATTTGAGAACTTAATGTAAACTGTGAAAATTACCATAAAATACACATTAAAACTGACATGGGCAGAAGTATTTGATTCTCAAGAAATTTAATTTTAACTAATATATTTCACATTAAAAACAAACTCAGACTCACTTAGCTTCATTACTAGATTCTGCCAACAGACTTCTAAAAGATTTGTGCTGGGAAAATTGTTTATCCATGTAGGAAAAACACAAAACCTGAGGTTAGTGTTAAGATGGTGGTGTAGGCAGTCTCTGAACTCACTTCCTCCCATAGACACAAAAAACTTACTACTCTTGGAACAATTATCCCTGAGAGAGAACTGAAAACTGAATTAAAAAAAACCCCACAACAAGGGACAATCCTGACTGAAGTGGAAGAGGCAAGAATTCTTTCCTGGAGAGAAAAAAGCCACCCTCACATGCAGCTGTGCTTCATGGCTGGCTGGGAGAAATCTTAAGGTAAGCAGCCTTCCCTGGAGGAGTGGGAGGTCTGAGCAGGAGAGTGTTACTGCTATAAGCAGCTTTTGGACTCAGCACAACAGAGATGACTGTCACAATATCTGTCCTTGCTGGCAACTAGCAACAATAAGGACTATCCCCAGAAATGCTAATGGGAATAAGTTTTTTAAAAAAGGTATGCTCTTAAAGGGCCCACACACACATTCACCCATTTTGGAAAGCAACCTTAAACCACCAGAAAGAAAAGTACGCAGTTCTTTGGTGATGAGATCACCTGATAGGCTCTGGGTGCATCTTGGTGAGAGTGAGATCTCCTCAGGTACTGAGACATTGGCAGCACCCATTATTGTGACCTAGTACAGGCATGCTGACACAGACACTGGCAGATGCCATTGGACTTTTTCCCCAGTACTGTTAGCCCAGGATCTGCCTCACTCTCTAGAGCATTGATTTAATCCAGGTCAGCCAGGGAAGGCAGCCCTCCCTGGGGACTGGCCCTACTCAACAACAAGCCCTTGGGAAACTTGTAGGCCTGCATAGGTTGGGAGCCTGGTTCTCTGAAGCTGTGTGAGTGGGCCTACCGCTGTGGGGAAGCACATGCACAAGGAGAGGGCAGAGTGTGTGGGGCCTCAGTGTGGGGCAACTGGAGCCACCTCAGGAGTTAGGGGAACATGCATGGGGCAGGACTGTGTTCATGGTTTGTGTGGCCTTGTGGGCAGTGGGACTTGTCAGTTGCAGAATACTTATGCTTCTCTAACAGCCACATAGGAGATTGGTCCCACCTTCCAAAGCCTGAAACAATAAGCTAGGAATACCCAGTTGTTGGGAATATGCCTGAGGCCAGCACTACTCAGCTGCAATGCTGAGAGAGCTAATAACTGTCTTGCAGGCTGGAGGCCTACAGTATTTGTAAGCCCCTGAGCCTAGCAACCAACCACACTAGGGGCCTAATCACTTAGCAGAAAAATTGCAACAGGAATGTGCTATTAGACCTTGCAGGCAACTGTACTGGAGTTTCCCCAAACCTGATAAAGTGACCGAAGGGTCCATAGCAGTCATAAACAGCAGTGCATTACAAGTAGCTGGCAAGGGGGGCATTCTAGCCTTTCTGGACAGCTGCAGCAAGAGCAACCCTGCCATAACAGAAAGATACATGTAGCCCACACAGGGGTCCCTCCTGGGACATTTAGAAATGGTGATGAGAGAGAAGTACACTGCTGGGGCTCATAAGGCATCTCTTACATAGGACCACCTCTCCAAGATTCAGAGACATAGCTGACTAGTTAATACATACATATAAGCACAGGGAAAGAGGCAAATGAGGAGGCAAAGGAATATGTTCCAAGTAAGGGAACAGGAAAAAACCCAGAAAAAGAACTAAATGAAATAGAAATAAACAATCTATATATAGTGTGTTATGGTAAATCATAGACAAATCCAATAAACAAGGAAGGAGCCCTGCTTTTATAGAGAAAAAGGAGCAGTAGGGACGGGAGTTCTAAATGAAAGTCCATTGGGGAAAAGTAACAGTTCAGGGCATCAATGGCTTCTTATTGGCTGAAATACAGCATTTCTCAATGGCTGGACTTTTGCCAAGTGAGGAGAGACGTCTCCCTTCGGTACTAAAGTAGTTTTACGTCCTGTCCAAGATGCAAGCCATATTTCCCTTCCTATTTGGTGTAATTGATAATGTGTGATAGGGTATGAGAACGCCCCCTACAGGCCTTCCTGACTCCAATTTAGTTAAGGTTCCTTTATTAATTTCCACAGCTCCATTCATGGCAGCTCCAGAGGACCAAGAAGAAGAGGAGTAACTTATTCATGAATGGCAGTCACAAAACTCAGAGTTGTGAGAGAAAGAAAACCCCATCCTTTTCAGAAAAAGATTCAGACTTGAGCCAGGGATAAGGAACGTGAAATTCTCTGCCTGCCCTCACACCAATTATCCTGAGGTCTTCATTGGGCACCTTCTAGCCCAGTTCTATTCTAAAAGGATATGAAAAGGAGCAAGGAGGAAAAGATGCTTCCTCCATTAGAACCTGTAGAGTTACAGACGGGAGATAAAGAATCTCTTTTGCGCATAAACACAGGCAAGGGAAACAGACACAAAGCAGAATAGAGTTTCACAAATAATATTTTCCCAAAACAATTAATAGTCTAAACAACCAGATATGGGGCAGGGTATAGATAGAGGGGTGAGACAGTATCCAGCAGGGATTAGATAGCAGGCCAGACTGAATAGCAAACAGTATTCTATTTTCAACCACTGAGCAGGAAACCTATGAAGATGGTGATATAAAGTAATATTGAGTAGTGGGGAGAAGTTAGGGTCATGGGCACCTCTGGGCACGAGACCCTACTTTCAGGCTTGCATTTGAATCAGCAGATGGTTTAAGCCAGAGCAGTTGGCAGAACACGACTGGCTTCAAAAAAGCTTGTGAACCAGACAGTGAGTTTCCTAGGCTGCTTCCCACTCTCCACTCCATTTTTTAACAACTTCTTTCCCCCATCCCCCAGGACTGATCCTGGGCCAAGTTGAAATTTTAATCACATTTCAGGCAGTGCTACAACTGGAAAGAACTCTAGTTTGTATTGTTTGTGTTATTTACAAAATATGTATCTGAAAGTAAGTAAAGTATTCAAGATTATACAAATCAAGACTGAAAATCATCCCACTATTACTTTTTGAATGTCTGCTATGTTCTAGGCACTGCTCTGAATACTGAGAACAGAGGGAGGAAGACAGGTCCCTTTTCAGATTTTCTGGCATTGCTAAGTCTACTTCAGCATTTGAATTCCTTTACCTAGGCTCTTGGGAGTTTCCAGGCACTATTTCTGAGTTTTTCCCATCCTCTATTATTACCTAGCCCTAAGGCGAGCTGTGCCTCCTTCCTATTCTGTTCTCACCCTTTCCACCCATACTTCCCTTTAAATTCTCTCTCAGAAAAGTATCTGACACATTAAGTCAGTTTTCCGAACCTGGGTTTATGTGCCAGAGTGGGTACAAAAGGACTTTTGGAGACCCAGGTATGAATCATCCCTAAGGAATCATTCTCTGATCTTCAACTCCCTTATCAGCTCTTCTTAAAATTGATCTGTTTGAGAAAGTATTTTTTCTCCTTTCTCACTTTCCTTTTCACAACTTTTTCTCTCTCTGTACAAAGGAAGGCATAACATTATCTTACTGTGTTGAAGTGTCCAAGAGGGTATGTTAGTACCAGTTGCCAATGTCAGTGATGAGAACATGAATGACTAATAACTGGATAACACATCCACCTGCAAGCCGGTGGTTTCCAATCCATTTCTTTCAACACAATTGAAATGGAAACTGATTGAATTGTCATCTAAGCAATAAAAATCATTTTGATGATAAATGACTATAATTTCTGACACATAACTAATAGAAAATTAAAATAGTTTAGTGTTACTACCATTAAAAAAAAACTTCCATTCTCTGAGCTATTCTATGTTAATGCCATTTATTTAGGCAAACTAGTTTCCTCAGCATGTATATCTCCAAAATGAAAAGTGAGAATGGAATTGTTGCTGAAACCTTTCTCATTATGGTAATGAGTACTCTCCATGGATGTACACAAAAATTGAAAAAGTGCAATCCACATTATTATAAAATGATGTTCCAATAAGTTTTTAAAATGTTGTCTAATGTATTTTTAAAAATTTATCATCTATTTCCTTAGCCCTGGTGAAATCTGTGCTAATTATATAATAATATCTAGTCAAAAATTGTTTTTAAAACACTTATAGCCAAGAGGACAGGAAACAAAATATCAATTAAATGTATAGGCAGATGGGGAATATATAGGTAGGTAGATAGATCGATAGATAGACAGATAGACGACATAGAAAATTCAATAAAGTATCACAATTAAAATATATTATAATATCATGAAATATTACTTCAAGGACAAAATAAAATCTATTTTTTAAAGATACTTGCACTCATGTAAATTTTTTTTTCTTTGGTGATGAAGATCCCCCCTCAGCTAACATTCATTGCCAATCTTCCCCTTTTTTTTGCTTGAGGAAGATGAGACCTGAGCTAACATCTGTCCCAATATTCCTTCACCCTTTGTATGCTGTATGACTCCACAGCATGGCTGATGAGCGGAGTAGGTCCGCACTGAGATCTGAACCCACGAACCGGGGCCGCTGAAGCAGACTGCGAGGAACTTTAACCACTCGACCATCGGACTGGCTCCCATTCATAATTTTTAAGACAAGTGTTAGTGGGTATCATAGAACAAACATTTACAATTCACTGAACATATAAAGTAGTGATGTAATAGTTTCATTAAAAATGTCAATACTCAACATTCAGTGGAAATTAGATTGCCTGTAACTATTTAAATTTATTATAAAAAATGGATGTCAATTGTAAAATATGCAAGCTAATAGATTGTTTTTTAAGTTGCTTAAAGGAAAAAAAATGTGAAGACAAGTGTTTAAGCCCACCCCAGGTGAAAATGCTTGATGATATCTAACGTGATGAAATCTCAAGTCAGATTCATAATTTTCCCAGATACCCTCCAGAGATGCCAGGCCACTGGTAGTGTTGATAGGAGACTGGAAAGTTACAGGGGGATGGTTGGGAGGCAAATGACTGCCTCTTCCACTCTGATGCCTCACCAGCTGTGTTATTTTTCTGTGACTGTTGTAACAATTACCACCAATTTGGTGGCTTAACACAATAGAGATTTGTTCTCACAGTTCTGGAGGCCAGAAGTCTGAAACCAATATCCTTTTGCCTAATTCAAGGTGTTGGCAAGGCCATGCTCCCTCCAGAGGCTTTAGGGGAGAATCCATTCCTTGCCTCTCTTAGCTTGTGCTGGCTGCTGGCATTCTTTGGCTTGTGGCCACATCACTCCAATATTCCAGCATCTTCAAATCTCTCTCTGTTCTATCTTTACATTGCCTTCTCTTCTGTGTGTCTATTTCAAATTTCCCTCTACCTCTCTCTTAATAGGACCCTTGAAATGGAATTTAAGGTCCACTTGGATAATCCAGGATAATCTCCCATCTCAGTACCTTAACCTAATCACATGTGCAAAGACTTTGTCAGACGATGTAATATTTACTGGTTCTAGGGATTAAGACATGGACATCTTTTTGGGGTTATTTTTTTAACCTACCACACCAGCACTGAGAACGAGGCAATCTAATTCTAGCACAGAAAATGTACTCAAAAATACTTGTAAAATGAATCAGAAAATGACTCCTTTCTGGAGTAGAACTCATTTATCTCCTCTATGCTGAATTATTTCTCTGACTGTGAATGAATACTTCCCAAACCCACCTCCCTCCTCCCATGCTGCCTTGCACTATAGCTCAAGTAATGTCTTTTACCTGCTACTTCCTTTTAGTCCAATTTCCCTTGAGAGATAAACCCTCAGGCTTCAACTTGCTATCTGTCCCTTTATTCACTCATTTCAACAAATATTGAATAAATGTTCTGTGGGGCTTAGAAGTTTATGGAAAATGAATGAAGAGCATGTCCCAAATTTACAAAAAAAAAAAGGAAAAAAAAAGAATTGTTAAGATTCTTTTCTGAAATCACTCAGCAAGTGATTATCAAATACCCACTGTAGTTAAGATTGCTAAGTTACAGAGTATAAGCCTCTAGTCTGAGAACTTTTCCCTTGAGTTGAGGATTGGATCATAAAAGTGAAGGAACAGAATGATGTAATAATAATTAATAATATATCATTGAGCATCTTTAGAAGATTGTAATCTGTGAGGCCATGTTAAGTGGCTTAGTCCACCTGTCTCTCAAAATCTTGTTTTTCAGGCAGTCAAGCAGACAGAGATCATGAGAAATTTGAGTGGAGGCCATGTAGCAGAGTTTGTTTTGGTGGGCTTCCCTGCCTCTCCACCATTCCAGCTACTCCTCTTTGCCCTCTCCCTTGCAATCTACCTGTTGATATTGTTGGAGAATGCACTCATCATTTCCACAATCTGGCTCATTCCAAGCCTTCATCACCTAATGGACTTTTTCCTTGGCCATCTCTCCTTCCTGGAGCTGTGGTACATCAATATCATGATTCCCTTCCTCTTGGGAGCATTTTTTACCCAGGAACATAGAGTAGAGTATCCCATGTAGGTTTCATGAACAAAATCTACTTCATTGTCTTAGCTTGTGCTGAATATATCCTGTTGGCAGTCATGGCCTATGACCGCTACCTGACCATCTGTGAAACCCTCTGTTATCCTAGCCTCATGTCTTCGTGCTTGGCCACTTGGCTTGCTGCTTTCTCTTGGGGCAGTGGCTTCTTCAGTTCCATGTTGAAGATTCTTTTCATTTCCTGACTGTCCTACTGTGGACTCAATAACATCAACCACTTTTTCTGTGCTGTCAGCAAGTATTTGTGCAGACTATAGTCACACATCTTGAGATTCTTCCTCCCCATAGATCTCTAAATTTCTGGTTAATCTGTGACTCCTGATTTCTGCTATCTGACAACTCAAGCCAATAAAAAGTTCAATTTAATCTCTCAAACTTTGTGTTAGTAAGAGAATACATTCACTTAAAGGCACATCAGACTCACAAATCTTACCAGGATCCATTCAGTCTTTCAAGAGTATGTTCCACTTTCCTTTGTGTAGGTCTCTTCTCTTACTGTGCTCCTTGTGATCGGTCAGGATTTTGGTCAGAGAAAATACTCAGCTCTGGTATTTCAGCTCTTCTGTAGGTCTCTCCTTTACAAAAATCCTCTCTTACACTTCCAGTTTTTGTTCTACTCTAAATCCCATTATCTGCCCTCTTGGGGGAATAGGAGGTGGGGAGAATTGCAAACTGCTCCTAGGAACGAAGCTTAAAATTCATAGTTCTTACTAATGTGATAAACAATACTTGTTTTAAGATTAACTGTTTCTCAAACATTTTTCCCTTACTTTTTAAAAATTATTTTATTGAGGTCACAATAGGTGATAACATTGTGAAATTTCAGGTGTGCATTATTGTTTGCCAGTCACCATATATATGCGTCCCTTTATCCCTTATGCCCACCCCCATCGTCCTTCCCCTCTGGTAATCACTAGTCTGTTCTCTTTGTCCACATGTTTGTTTATCTTCCACATACGAGTGAAATCATGTGATGTGTTTGTCTTTCTCTGGCTTATTTCACTTAACATAATACCCTCAAGATCCAGCCATGTAGCTGCTAATGGAATTATTTTGTCTTTTTATGACTGAGTAGTATTCCATTGTGTACGTATACCACATCTTCTTTATCTATTCATCAGTTGATGGTCACTTAGGTTGTTTCCACATTTTCTTGGCTGTTGTGACTAATGCTGCAATGAAGACAAGGGTGCATAAGTCTCTTTGCATTGTTGACTTCAAGTTCTTTGGATACATAGCCAGTAGTGAGATAGCTGGGACATATGGTATTTCTATTTTCAGTTTTTTGAGAAATCTCCATACTATTTTCCATAGTGGCTGCATCAGTTTGAATTCCCACCAGCAGTGTATGATGGTTCCCTTTTCTCTTCATCCTCTCCAACGTGTGTTATTTATTTTGAGGAAGGTTTGCCTTGTGCTAACGTCTGTTGCTAATTCTCTTTCTTTTTCTTCTTGAGGAACATTAGCCCTGTACTAACATCTTCCTCTTTTTTGTATGTGGGATTACACTACAGCATGCCTGGTGAGTGGTGAAGTTCTATGCCCTGGATTCAAACCCATGAACTCACGCCACTGAAGCAGAGCATGCAGAAATTTAACCCCTCGGCCACTGGGCTGGCCCCAGATTTGTTATTTTTTACCTTGGTAATTATAGCCTTTCTAACAGGTGTAAGATTATATCTCATTGTAGTTTTCATTCGAATTTCCCTAATGATTAGTGATATTGAATATCTTTTCAGATGTCTTTTGGCCATCTGTATATCTTCTTTGGAAAAATATCTGTTCATATCCTTTGCTCATTTTTGGATTGGGTTGTTTTTTGTTTTTGTTGAGTTGTATGAGTTCTTTATATATTTTGGAGATTAATCCCTTGTCAGATATATGATTTGCAAATATTTTCTCCCAGTTGGTGGGTCGTCTTTTCACTTTTTTTCCTGATTTCCTTTGCCTTGCAGAAGTTCCTTAGTCTGGTGCAATCCCATTTGTTCATTTTTTCTTTTGTTTCCCTTGCCTGGTGTTTGAAAAGATGCTGCTAAGATGAATGTCAAAGAGTGTGATGCCTTTAATTTCTGCTAGGAGTTTTATGGTTTCACGTCTTATCTTCAAGTCTTTAATACATTTTGAATTAATTTTTGTGTATGGCATGAGATTTTCACTCTTTAACTTGTCACTGTCCAGTTTTCCCAACATCATTTGTTGAAGGGACTTTCCTTTCTCCCTTGTATGTTCTTGTCTTCTTTGTTGAAGATTAACTGTCCACAGATGCATAGTTTTATTTCTGGGCTTGCAATTCTGTTCCATTTATCTGCATGTCTCTTTTTTGTGCCTGTACCATGCTGTTTTGATTACTATAGCTTTGTAGTATATTTTGAAGGCAAGGGTTGTGATGCCTGCAACTTTGCTTGTTTTCCTCAGGATTGCTTTAGCTATTCAGAGTCTTTTGTTGCTCCATGTGAGTTTTAGGATTCATTGCTCTACTTCTGTGAAATACATTATTAGGATTCTGAATTGGATATCATTGAATCTGTAGATTGCTTTAAATAAGATGGACATTTTAACTATATTTATTCTTCCAATCCATGTGCGTGGAATATTTTTCCATGTCTTTATGTCACCATCAATTTTTTTCAAAAATGTCTTATAGTTTTCAGTGCATAGGTCTTTTACCTCCTTGGTTAAATTTATTCTTAGATATTTTATTCTTTTTCTTGTGATTGTAAATGGGATTGTATTCTTGAGTACTCTTTCTATTAGTTCATTATTAGAGTATAGAAAGGCAACTGAATTTTGTAAGTTGATTTTGAACTCTGAAACTGTGCTGTAGTGGTTGATTATTTCTAATAGTTTTCTGATGGGTACTTTGGCGTTTATATATATAAAATCATGTCCTCTGCAAACAGTGCGAGTTTCACTTCTTCCTTGCCAACTTGGACACATTTTTTTTCTTTTCCTTTCCTAGCTGCTGTCCCCCAAACCTCTAGTATTATGTTGAATAGAAGTGGTGAGAGTGGGCACCCTCATCTTGTTCTTGTACTCACAGAGATGGCTTTCAGTGTTTCACCATTGAGTATGGTATTGGCTGTGGATTTGTCACATATGGCATTATTATGTTGAGGTACTTTCCTTCTATACCCATTTTATTGAGAGTTTCTATCATAAGTGGAGATTAGATCTTGTCATTTCTCTGTATCTATTGAGATGATCATGTGATTTTTATTCTTCATTTTGTTAATGTGGTGTATCACATAGATTGATTTGCAGATGTTGAACCATCCCTGTGTCCCTTTTATAAAGCTCACTTGATCATGGTGTATAATCCTCTTAATTTATTGCTATATTCGGTTTGCCAATATTTTGTTGAGAATTTTTGAATCTATTTTTGTCAGCAATGTTAACCTGTAATTTTCCTTCTTTTTGTTGTCCTTATCTGGCTTCAGGATCAAGGTGACGTTAGCCTCATAGAGTGAATTAGAAAGTGTTCCATCGTCTTCAAATTCTTGGAATAGTTTGAGAAGGATAGGTATTAAATCTTCTTTGAACGTTTAGTAAAATTTTCCAGAGAAGTTATCTGGTCCTGAATTTTTATTTTTGAGGAGGTTTTTGACTATTGTTTCAACCTCTTTACTTGTTGTTAGTCTATTAAGATTCTCAATATCTTCTTGATTCAGTTTTGGAAGGTTGTATGAATCTAAGAATTTATCCATTTCTTCCAGATGGTCCAATTTGTCGACATATAGTTTTTCAGAATATTCTTATAATATTTTGGATTTCTGTGGTATCCATTATAATTTCTCCTCCCTCCTTACTAATTTTATTTATTTAAGCATTCTCTCTTTTTTATTTTAGTGAGCCTAGCTTAGGATTTGTCAGTTTATCTTCTCATAGAACTAGCTCTTAGTTTCATTTATCCTTTCTACAGTTTTTTTTCTTTTTTCTTTTATTTCATTTATTTCTGCTCTAATTTTTATTATTTCTCTCCTTCTGCTGACTTTGGGCTTTTTGTTCTTCTTTTTCTAGTTCTGTTAGGTGTAGTTTAAGATGACTTACTTGAGATTTTTTCTTGTTTGCTTAGGTGGGCTTGTATTACTGTAAATTTTCTTCTTTGGACAGATTTTGCTGCATCCAATATGAGTTGGTATGATATATTTTCATTTTTGTTTGTCTCCAAACATTTTTTGATTTTTCCTTCAACTTATTCATTGATCCAATGGTTGTTCAGTAGCATGTTGCTTAGTCTCCATATATTTGTCACTTTCCCAGCTTTTTTCTTATAGATGATGTCTAGTTTCATACCATTATGGTCGGAAAAGCTGCTTGATATCATTTCAACCTTCTTACGTTTATTGAAGCTTGCCTTGTTTCCCAACATATTGTCTATCTTTGAGAATATTCTATATGCCCTTGAGAAGAATAGGTATTCTGCTGTTTTTTGGTTGGAGTGTTCTGTGTATACATCTATTAAGTCCATCTGCTCTAGCTTTTTATTTAATTCCTCTATTTGCTAATTGACTTTCTGTCTGGATGATCTATCCATTGATGTAAGTGGGGCAGTGAGGTCCCCTACTATTATTGTGTTGCTGTTAATATCTCCTTTTAGGTCTGTTAATAGTCACTTAATGTACTTTATGCTCCTGTGTTAAGTGCATGTATATTTGTAAGTGTTATATCCTCTTGGTGGAGTGTCCCTTTTATTATTATATACTGCCTCTCTTTTTCTCTCATTGGCATTTCTTTTTTTTGAGGAAGATTAGCCCTGAGCTGACTACTGCCAATCCTCCTCCTTTTGCTGAGGAAGACTGACACTGAGCTAACACCCATGCCCATCTTCCTCTACTTTATATGTGGGCTGCCTGACACAGCATGGTTTTTGCCAAGCGGTGACATGTCTGCACCCTGGATCTGAACCATCGAACCCCAGGCCATCGCCAAGAAGTGGAACCACTGTGCCACTGGGATGGCCCTCCTCTCATTGCCATTTTTGTCTTGAAGTCAACTTTGTCTGATATAAGTATGGTAACATCTTCTTTCTTTGGTTTGCCATTAGCTTGGAGTATTGTCTTCCATCCCTTTACTCTGAGCCTGTGTTTGTCTTTAGTGCTGAGATGTGTTTCATGGAGGCAGCATATTGTTTGGTCTTGTTTTTTAATCCATCCATCCACTCTTTGTCTTTTGATTAGAGAATTTAATCCATTCATATTTAGAGTGATTAATGATATATGAGGGCTTAATACTGCCATTTTATCTCTTGTTTTCTGGT